GTTGGATGTTAGTCGTTTTACAGAAAAAAAATAAATGATTAAAAAAAAAGAAAAAAACGAATCATTCATTTCAAGACGAGATCGAATTTCTCATGATCTTTTCCACGAATTTACAATCAAATGAGTTATCGATTTCTCCAATATTTTGCGAATGTTTGCATATCTGTCATGATTTTCATTTAAATACGCATAGTAAGTACGGCACGTAGTTTCGTTTATTTGATCAGAAATATTCAACATAAAGATTTTGTTAATGTATATATAAATATAATGTTTTATGATTGCATATAAATTTAATCCTTTTTCGCAAAATATAATTTTGGACTATTAGGAAAAACAAATAATCTATATTATATTATATAAAGAATATATTAATATTGGTATTTAATATTTAAAAATATAAAACGTTTCTTTTTTGATATTTTAAAAAATACTTTCTAAGGGAAGAACTTTAAATATTCAACAAATTCAAAAAGTATTTTCTTTTTAAACCTAATTCAAATAAGGGATATAATTTGAATAAAATTCAAAAATAATAAATACAAAAATTGTAAACCCCTTCCAACTTTAACCCGACCCCCTCATACGTTTCAAAATCTTATGGCATTATAGTATCACTTATCTCTTCTTTGATGTCTCTAAAATATTGTACAATACTTCATTATGTTATATCCAATATCAAATGAAAAATAAAAATAGTTACTGACCCTTATAGAAAGATTTACGTTACCGATGAAAAATTCAATATATTATGTTCATATGTATCTTCTTATTTTACATATTGCACACAGTTTCGCATTTTAATAATGAAGTAAAACGTATTGTTAGCGTATATCTTGATTATTTTTCAAATGTATTATTTTTGACGTTACTTCAACGCGCGTCTTGTGTTAGTTTCGATCTTGGATCATCGTAGCAAAAGGGAAAACAATTTGTATATCGAAGAGAGTATTGTTCGAACAAAACGACAAAGTGAACGTTCGCAAATCAAACAAGCAAAAGACCCGAGGCATATCGTAGGTCAGATAGAAAGCACTTTCGCCCACGACATCCGTTGGTCTGCGTTCGTTCCCTAACTCTCATATACATATTATATCTGTATATATGTGTACACATACACTTATACAAAGGTTTATTTACACGCTAGCATGCATGCAACGAACGTAAGCCGAACGTTGTGCACTTTGCACGCCTACAAGCGGAAGGAATTTCAAACTACCGTTCGACCTACGTGCTACGTCGTCTCTTTTCAAATCTTAACTCGTAAATCAAAGCACGCGGATCTTAATATTAACAAACGATTTTTTCTTTTTTTTCTTTTTTTACGATAGTTGTATTCGTGGGAATCAAACGATATTCAATTTTCTATTATATACGAAAATTTATAGTTTTATCTTATTGTAACACCGATAAGATGTATCATTTGTGAGGATATTAGAAGAAAAATGATAATACCGATTGATTGCGAAAAAGTTTTGTTTTTTGTTAAATACATTTTTTTGAAAATTAAGAATATTACGATATTCCACATCTTATTTTTTTTCGTTGTATTGTCAATAGATACGAATTTGTACGTGTCGTGGGAATAGTTTTCAAAAAAGTTTATCGATATTATAAATAAACGACAAATGTGTTTCTAACATTTATCAATACAACGAATAAAATTCATATAGATACGTTGAAAAACTTAATATAAATTCCAATATAGTATTATAGATATATATTACATTAATTTTTGTTCATTTTCCAATAAAATGTTTTTAAAATGATCGTATAAATATATTCGTTATGGTTATCAGAGATTTTGTAAATAATTTATATTTGTTATTAATCGATATCTTTCTCTCGACGTAATTAATCCTTCCCTACCGTATTTCTAATGTTAACGATAGACACGTTTAAAGTTAAATGGTAATTAAAAGAACAGCAACGTGTTGTTAGAACGAACGAGGAATTTCAACGTGTTCGCGCATTATCTTCTCACGCGATGGGAATATATACGTATGTATACGTGTATGTGTATAATACGTAAGTCCGAGCAACATCTCTTCGTGATAATTATTATCGACACTAAACACGGAGTCCGTGAGGTCAGCCGGTAAATCACCGAGGACGATAGGGCGCACGCGTAAAAGAGAAAGAAAATAACACTTCCTTGAGAAAGATCCTCTACTTTGGAGTTTCTACAAGGAGTAATCATGATCGATCCTCTTGGAAAAGCTTTCACACGACTCGTTCGTTGTTCATAGTCTTTCACGAGAAAGAGAGAGCTAAGAGAACTAACACGTTGGAAAACCACCTCCGCCACTTTTAAACGAATATTATCTATTATTCATCCAATTTAAAATTATTCGCTAATTATGCGCCACTTGTATGTTGTCTTCTCTTTCGCACATACACTAATATATATATATATAAGTAATAGAAGAAAATAGATATTTATATATAAGCTGTTTATATTGAAAATGGTTTAAGTCTATTTTAATTTTTATTTTCTTATTCTTGTTGTTGACCGTAATAATATATATAATTGAAAGTTAATTGTTATAAAATACATTTATCGAGAGAAAAAATGTATACCGTTCGTAATATATACAAATTTTATTATTTTTCATATATAATTAGTATTATTTAAAGAATTGAAAATTGGGTTAAATATAGATGAGTAAGTCGTGATTTTCGTGCAATTATTTTATTGTATTCTTACGTAATTATATCTATGTAATATTAAATGTTAAATTTATTTAACATTACTTTAACTTTTTCAAAGCAAAATAACTGTTACTGTCCAATTAGAACTTTTTTCCTGTTTCCAAAGAAAAAATTAACATTTTTTATTTGTTCATTAAAATATAGAATAAAAGTTTCAGTGAATTAATATCTGTTTTTTTAAAACGCAGAAGTTAAAAGTCAAAAAATAATTGTTACATAAGATGTAAAACTTTGAAAAGTTTCCTTCAATCATTGATCAAAAGAATACATTTGTGTATGTTGTGTACGTTGTATACAGTTGTGTAAGTAGTGTATAAATCATGAGATCGGACGTTTGTTCGTATATTTTTTTTGTAAAAAGTCGATTGCACAAAAATTACATAAAAAGTCGTTGAAAACAAATTAATCTGATTTGCGAGCGGTGATATCAATCGTAAAAAGAAATATTAGAATGAGCTGAAAGAAAATAAAAGAGAATGAGAAATAAATCAAACACGAAAACATCGATAGTATCGAATACCAAAGATATAAATCGGGTGCTTACACCTGAATCACCGTTTCTCGTTAGCCGTTATTTATCGACAAGCGTGTAAAACATGTTACGTACGAACAAGTTAAGAAAGAACGTTAAAATGTTACGAAACGTTGAGTGGACGCGAAGCGACTTCTTGGTCGGTGCTAAGTGCTTTAATTTGCTCTAATTGCCCGCACTTCTGGAAGTTCTCCGCATTCCAAGCCGGGTCATTCTCAACTCTCTGTTCAATATTCCGCTATTCGAGAAGATAAGATCGAGATAGAGTATCTCGAGAAACTTGTCCGTCGTTGTCGTCGTTTTCGTTTCGTCATTGATGCGACGCAAAAGCTGATCGCCTACGCATCTTCTTGGAAAAGTTTCTTCTTATTTTATCTTAATAACTTTTACTTATATAAATGTTGTTTTTTTATATCATATTATTATGTATAATATATTATTTTACTGAATTATATAAGATATATATATAGTTATATAGTTATATAATTATATAGTTAAATAGTCTATAATATCCTATATATAATATTCTATAGTTATATTATTATTCTACATATATAGTTTTTAATTAAATATATATATATAAAAAAAATATATAAATATATAATAAATTTAATTCTATTGATTTTATATAATAAATAGAATCTATATAACTATGTGGAATATGAAGAACAATATAGAAATGAATAAAGGAAGAAACAAAAATTATACACGTTTTATTTACACTATTATTCTATTTTGTAATTTTCAAGTGTATGATATCTCTATAAATAATAATTGACGTCTAGTCACACTCGACATAGGAGTAACAAAGAGTTAAATAGAACGAACGGATCAATGTGAAAAATTATTAAGCATATAGATCTATGTTCTACTCTACGCGTTTATATTTACGACTACTATGCGATTTCACCGAAAGAATTCTGGAGTTATATCCAGGAAGTTATGACAACGAGCAACCAGGTCGACCGTCCTTGAGACGCGTCGAATGACATTTGTTTCCCATATGAAGAAGCCAAGTTCTAAGTCCCATAGGACAGCTCATTTGTCATAGTCATCGGTAAAGAATGGATAAGTTCGCTTAAAACGTGTATACTCTTGACTTTATAATGACAACACACCCTTTTGTCGTAACTCTCATTACTGAACTGAATAATAACAAACCATTTGATTTTGAAAAGAGGTAAAAGATAATTTGCGAAAGTTCTTCCTTACTTATTTTTTTATTTTGGTCAACTCGTACTCCGTCCAATGATTGATGATGAACAAAATCCGAAGGACGGTAGAAAGATTATAAATACCAGATACTCGTAATTTGTTGAATATTAAACCAAAAAAAAAAAAAATTGTACAAAATATTTTAACATTATTTTATTACTAATTGTAAAACCCATGGTACGTATTAACACAATGTTTCTTTATATTATGATTCCATTAACAAACGGTCAAGATAACTAACGTAAAAGTAATATATTATTAATAAGTTAATGTAACATTAAACATAAAATCTAAAATCTGTCAAATTAACGAGATCCTCAAATCTATCGTAAAATAATATAAATGTCAGACCTTGATGATATTAAAAGACGTTTAAATATATACATATACATATATATACATCATCGTGGAATCATTGGAGTAGTAGGACAAAGAATAAGAAGAGGCAAGTGAGTTATGTCTTAATTCGATCGAGATGCGTGAACCACTCGAGAAGGAATCGTTCTTACCGAGTTCTCGAATGGACTAGTAAACGGTCAGTACCGGCATCGCACGGCTTTCACCCATCCATCCATCCATCCATCCATCCATCCATCTTCGTTCGAAGCGCACAAGTTTTTTGCTACGAACTTACTAAGAACCTTCTAAAGCAAAGCGACATAAGTCACGTTCCACGAACGTTCAAAATTTTACTTAAAATAGATAAGACCAATTGTGTTTTTAACAAATTCGACAAAAAAAAAAAAACAACGCAATCTTTATAATATACGTAAACATCAACTAAACGTGTGTGTGAGTTAGATTAACGTTCCTTCCGAGTGTCCATTATACGTAAAATAAAACTTTAATCGCGTTTGGTGTAAGCTTACCAACGAAAATGACATTTTCTTGGTGGTGTGTTTTCGTTTAATAAAAAAAAAAAAAAAGGGAAAAAAAATAAAAACTTAAATAAAGACCGTATCCCTCGTTTTCTTCGTCTGAAACGTGACATTTACAATTTCTACGCGATGTTTTCTGACGACCATCTGCCTACCCTACAAAATGTTGTTAGAAGCTACTACCACAACGTTCTAAGATTATAGAAAGAGTCAGGTACTTATATTGCTATGTGTATACCTTATCTACTACAAGAATATAGTAGTGGCAATCTGTACGAAGAAAGACAACGATTAATTCTATACGACATAAGTGCCAGGACTAACGTGTCCCTATGGGAATTCTCATGCGAATCCCACGAGTTAGAGAGATAGAACCATTATACGTGCTTTCTGACAACCATTTTTTTTTTCATCGTCGTGAAAAAACGCTATATTTGTTTCTAACGAATTTTATATATATTATATATATTATAATGCAACGAATATTATTTTCCTTTTTAATCGAATACACTAACGAGAAAAATTGTAAGATTTTAACAGTTTCACAAAGTATAACATACTTGATTGTTTCTTTTTAAACCGAATATTAATCGTGCAATAATTGGACCGTTTATTGTGAGATTTGAGCAAGTTCATTTTTTATTGTTTCGAGAAAATTAAAAATTAACATATTGATCAATACAAAATATAAATTAATTGCATCAAATCTGGCATTGTTTCTATTAACTTATCTCAATATGTAATTTCATTATATAAATTTCTTTTGGGCGAATTTATTTATTTTCCTGAAATTCTTGTTTAAGTAAAAATTAAACATTTTCAATCACGCGAGTCTATAGAAAATTGACTTAAATCACTTTGAAAATAAACGATCCAATTGTTCGTGATCAAAGTTAAAGAAATCAAAAATATGACATATTATGTTACCTGAATAGATAAGAACAAATAGTAAAAAAAAAATATTTCAAATAAATCTTGAATCGATTAAAATCTAGCATAAGAGAAGATGAAACAGATCGATCCATCCAGTAATATTAGTAATAATAATAATAGTAACAGCACATCCAATTGTTCGTGGTCAACATTATAGAAATCAAAAATATGACATATTATGTTACCTGAATAGATAAGAAAAAAAAAAGGAAAAGAGAGAAAAGATATTTCAAATAAATCTTAAATCGATTAAAATCTAGCATAAGAGAAGATGAAACAGATCGATCCATCTAGTAGTAGTAGTAGTAGTAGTAGAAGTAGTAATAGTAACAGCATAGGATGCTTTTGTTAAAACGGCGCGATCCGCGACGAAGTTATTCGCCGACGGCAAGCTCGTGCTTTCTCGATGGGCAGTGAACAGGAAGATTCCACGGACGATTGCTCGATACGCTATTACAGCAACGCGAAACGTTCACGATCTATCTCTATCTTTCTCTCTCTCTCTCTCTNCGATCTATCTCTCTCTCTCTCTCTCTCTCTCTCTCTCTCTCTCTCTCTCTCTCTCTCTCTCTCTCTCTCTCTCTCTCTCTCTCTCTCTCTGTCTTTCTTATTCTCGTTCGCGTGTGCTCACGTATCTGGTTTTGCAAGGATTTTCTGGAACCGGGGTTACCAGTTTGTGATGCTCTCTCTTTCTTACCAGTGAGTTAATTGGCGAACGTAGTAGTTACTTCATCGTTGTGAGAAAGAAGAAGAGAGAGAAAGAGAGAGAGAGAGAGAGAGATGCACTTGGTTTCTCCACTAGAAGAAGAACGTCTTGACATTGTGTCGGGGACTCCTCCTTTTCGCGAAGGGGAACACTTTGACGCGGAAGAACGATTTAACGATCCTCGGCAATTTCCATACGTCTCGTGGAAAATACACACACACACACAAGTAGTGTGTGAGAGAGAGAGAGAGAGAGAGAGAGAGAGAGAAATCTAACTTGCGATCTTGGAAGTATCCAAGCCGAGAGAATTCTCTCGGAATGAAATCGAAGAGAAAATAATTTTGTCGAGTTTGCTATAGATCAATTGATTTCTAAGTATCTTACGAATACCCCACACGCCTCCCCCCCTCCCCCACCTGACCCGTCCCGCCACATTCATACTGTTAAGATATTTATGTTCTATATCATATCGCGTAGTTATCGTTAAGAAACTTTAAACTTCTTTGCCACGCGAACTCGAATGAATATCTTTAATCGTAGCTAGTAAATCTTTAGAAATGTATCAAGCGAGTTTGTCGGATGTACGTGTAACGTATGATATATATATCGTATCAATGATATATTTATTATATATGTATAATAAGTCTTTTTGTTTTTTAAATGATACAAATAATATATTTGTTCTTATTTGGAGATATTTAAAGGTTATGTAATCTGAGAAAAAAAAATATTGATAAATGTTAATAAATTCTATTGTAATATAATGTTTTTTTAAAATATTAAACACGTTAAATTTGATTAATATGCAAATTGATTTATACTGTTTTTAAAGAAAAGAAAAAGAACATTCAAATATTAATATTTTACAGTGAAACCTTTTTGCGATGAATTTATATAAAGATATTTTTATTAACGATATAATAAAAGAAATCATCTAATACTTAATACGACGATAAAACTAATTATAATTGAATTTTTGTCAAATTTAATTTATACCAGTTAAAAAAGAAAAATACGATTCTTATATTCTTCCAATGAAAACGTTCGTTTTATTATTTATATGTTTTTTTTATTATCTTACAATTATTAATTGAAGGTTCATCGTACGTAAATAATATGGTCGTTTTAAGGCACCCACTACTATCACGGTGTTTAACGCGTAATCACGATGGATGGTAATAACATCATCGAAAAGAATAATTAGTTTACGGCATATCATTAAAATTAATTGAATGTTCGTGATACTACTCGAAGCTTTGGCACCTGCTTATTACGAGTTTAATGATTAAATCGTAGAACCAAAGATAGATTAGGGGGAAAATTTTTGCGAAATTCTGATGAGAAGTAAGAAAAAAAAACGTCTCTTCTTATCAACTAGAAGAAACGAATTGTTTACATCGACTACACCGAGACTGCGGGACTTCGATCGGATGTGATTAAAAATGTTATTACTTTATCTTGACTCTTCTTTACGTCGCGATTTGTTTAATCGAACATTGAATACGTTAGTACGGTCATGTATTTTATTTTTATTTTTTTTTCCTTCTTCTTCTTCGTCTCGCTGTCGTCACACGTCTTACTAAGTATTTTTCTTTTCTCATTCTATATATCAACACACTCTATCTTTATTTATTTATTTCTTGATATTTTCCATAACAAGTTTTGCAATAGAAATCTTATAATATTTCTTTCGTTGTTAATCGTGCACGTTCTGTCACGTGTGTCGTCAAAATACGTATATTTTATTTCGCAAGTTTTTCGGAATCATAATGTGTTTAGAACAAAAAGGAAAAATAAAAGACGTTAAATGAATGAATATTAAATTCCATAAATAATATATTGTAATATAAATCGTTTATTTTTTTCCGAGAGTAATATTACAAGTAAGAATAAAAATGGGTCATTTATTCTTGACAAACGACTCGAAAAGAAGATGGCAATCAGGTCACATGCCGGATTAATGTCAGTCGATTTGCATACAATCCAAGTGGCAGATGTTAACAGGTCACTTTATCAGAAATCATTTCTATCCGTGATACATATATGAGAGCAGCTGTTCGATTTGCGACAGAGTGCTTGCGTACGACGACGTTCTTTCCCTCTCTCTTTCTCTCTCTTTCTTTATTTTGCACGCATAAATATTTTATATTCCTTCTTTTCTGTTATCGAAGCCAAGCTCCGTTTGGCAGCTACCAGCTACGGAAAAGAACGGCCAGTCGTTCCGCGTGTTTTCCTATTAGGTCGTTACAATGCTAGCCGTAAGGCAACCCTACCTTCAGCAAACTCCTTTCGCGTAACCAACGCGAACGTCGAACTTCAAAACAAAGAACTTACGAACGCGGTCAATATGATGAAAAATATTTTGTCTATGTTAAACTCTCTACAATTTGTTCTGTAATTTTATCCTAAAATTCTAAATGGATCTAATTGTAAGCTAATAAAAATGCTCACGATCACGATACTAAACATCTGTTTTTTAAATTTTTGTACAAAAGTTTTTAAAACAATTATTTGCAGATAAGATTAATTTATTTTAAAATTCTCCATAATAGGGTCGAATTTATAATAAAGAATTTTACGAACGTGGTCGCAATGATACAAAATATTTTATCAAAGTTAAATTATAATTTATATACTAATTTTATTTTAAAATTAGAAATCTTTTCGCGAAATGGATCAATTAATTTTACGATTCTCGATATTAACGTCGAATTTTAAATAAATAATTTTACGAACGTGGTCGCAATGATACAAAATATTTTGTCAAAGTTAAATCACAATTTGGTAGTACCGAATTGATTGTGAGAGGGCGTTTTCGTAAAGAAATAATTCTAACTTATAAAAAGTAAAAATAAAAAGACATCAATTTCGATATTCTCTTATTGATTCGAATCGAAAGAAAAGAGAATATAAATAAAAAGAAAAAGAAAGAAAATAAAAACACACTAAAGATTTGTCTTTCAAGTAAATTCTAATAGGAAATAAAATAAATATGATCACTTATCATCCTGACGAGAAGTTCTATGGTGGTTCGCTTTTCATCTTGGCAAGAACTTCGTTTCCACGAATACACGCGCGTCAAACTCGATACATTTCCGATAAGCGGTTATATCGCAGTCGTTTGTGTATATATATCTCACGTACGAAAGCACGTACGCATATATATATATATATATAGCTATGTGAAACGTCGAAAGAGTTAAGAGAAGCATGAGGTAAAACTCTTAGGCACACGTGCGTTCCGATCGTACATCATTCAACGATCGAACCATGGCCGTTAACTCGTTCGCAATTTTGTGATTTGTGATCTTTGCTAGACTATTTCGTTCTTTCTCGACGTTTCTCGAAATATCAATGATATCAAGAATTGTAAGATTAATTTATCATATCGAATTTAATTAATTATGTTATGAATATTATATTTTTCAAAATATTACATAAGATTTTATAAATATCATAAAAGAGAAGATTGTTATAGGAAAGTTATTTCCAATCAAAAAATATAGACGTATATAGTTATTCAATCACTCACTATAGTAAAATTACTTATTTAAAAAATCTTCAATTTGTAACAT